GGACGCTGCAGATGAATGCTTAACATTTCACCGGCCCTCCCTTGACGACATCCCGTAGGGTGATATAGGGGTTTATATTCATTCCTCCTGGGAAGACAAAATACCACCATGTCTGCTATGTCTCTTTCTCTCCACTCCCTTATCTCCCAGTAAGGGCCTGTTTTAAAGCAGTCATTGAGACCCAGTTCAGATCTTACAGTGGCTCTAGAAGGAGACCATGAAATGCTAGCAAAGTAGAGAACAGAGTGCTTGCTGGAAGAAGACCTTATTGGTGGTCTTTAAGGACCTGATGAGATAGGGGTGGGGGAGGGCGGCACCCCTGCCGGAAACCAGAAGGTCACAGCTGGCTCGCTGTGCCCAGGAGAAGGATACTGCAGCTCTAGCAGCCTCTGTCTGCACCCAGCTGGGACACTCGGTGCGTGGGACCTGTTTGCGTGTGTTTTGCTTCCTTGGGAACGACCCTCTCACTCACCCTGTCGTTAGCACAGATGACGTGGTGCTCTCTGGCCGTGAAGCAAGGGGGTTTTACTGCAGTCAAGATGAGCGCAAGCAGGGAGACGTTCCTGGGAAGGGATTTGTGGCCACTTTCTATCTCTGCTTCTGTCAGAAACTTGCTCCGACATGTAGTAGCCAATAAAAAAGAAATTCCTGATTTCAACCTGACACATGGATTGTGGATTTTTGCGTGTCTGTCTTGCCATGGGTGGTCACATTTTGATAAGTCTGTCTTTCAGAACACTGGCAAGGGCTGGCTTTCGTTGTTAGGACCTGGGAATTTATTACGTAAGTGGGACCAGAAAAGGCAGATGGCTCAAAACTGCCTTTGGGAGCCAGCAGAGACAAAATTGGCAACTGGTCTTTCATCGTAAGTATCTTCGTTTCATAATCACAGAGGGTGGCTTCGAGCAGAGATTCTAAAGTCATGGAATTTATCAACCATGCATGTCATTTGCCTTAAAGCTTTACGTGGGGTCCGTGGTGGCCGTCCGTTTACTACTCGGCTCTGTGTGGGTCCGTGCAGTTGGATGCGTTCTAAAGCTTAGCTCCAGGTCAGAAAATAGGTGTTTTTTTCTCAAGTTGCTGAACTTTGAATCATCTCCAGTTTCAAAGTTCAAATGTAAGGTAATCCACATTTTAAAAATCTATTTTTTTTATTTCCAGCCTGTGTGCCCAGCCGCCCAAGTATTCATTCATTCATTTATTCAACAAACACTGGTTGAACGACCACTCTCTGCAGAGTCCTGTTTGTGATGCAGCAAGGAGATACACAAAACAGGATTCCTGCTCCCAGGAGTTTGGAATGTGGACACAGGAGGCTAGGACATACGTACACGAAGAAGCGGGAGGACATGAATGTTCTAGTAGAGGCGCCAGCAATGTGCTATGGGAACACGCGGAGGGATTAGCTCTGAGATGGCAGGACACTAAGCACTTGATGGGTTTCCCGAAGAGCGGAGTTTCCTGAGACTTGTAATTACGTATGTGATTTCACGAGGCGTCCACGTAGCCAGAGCAGAGACAGAGTTGCGAGGTAGGATGGCTGGAGGGGAGGCTTGCGCTGGGTCTCGGGAGAGAATGGCGCGGATGAGCACGAGTGCAGGAGGCACAGAGGTAGAAATAGCAGGTGGAGCACACGTTTGGGCCCAGCTACGGAAAGAAGCAGCTGCATGACCACCGATTTTTACAGAGCTTTTTCTTAGCGAGGTTGCCAAGGGGAGATCCTGTGGTGGCTCTGGGACACAGCCTTTCTCTCGGGAACCTGCTCAGATTCACATTGCCAAGGTATTATTTCTGCTTTACGTAAAATCCGAGCTTCTCTGGCTGAGCTATGCCTGCTAGTCCTCTTGTCTTCTCCTTGGGAGAGGTGGAAGGCAGGAAGTCACTCTTCTGCACGTAATGGTCTTTATGTCTTAAAGATGAAGCTCCAGCCACCAGCCTTTCTTAAGAGTAAATGACTGGAGAGGTCCGAGACTTTTGTGGGGACCACAGAAGACGGTCCTAGAGGAGAGGGTGGATGGAGTGTGGCAACTGCCGGGCCACTCTTGTGATGGGCTAGTATCGAGGGATTCACTCGCAACACCGTGTGCCCCCAGGACAATGACAAGCAACAGTGTCTACAGTGCAGCGGTTCCCAACCAGAGCAGTGTTTGGAAATGTGTCTATATGTGCCAGGGAGGCATTTAAGGGGACGGGACCGTGGATTCTAAATATCCTACCGGGGGTCCACCAGTCCCTTAGAACAAAAAATTGTATTGCCTCATTCATGATTCTTGGGTTCATTAGCTGACCTTGAACATGGCAGGCAGCCATCATTAACACGAGATGTTTAAAACTGAGGGTTCTAGAGGGGAGGCGGGTGGGGGGATGGGTTAGCCTGGTGATGGGTATTAAAGAGGGCACGTTCTGCGTGGAGCACTGGGTGTTATGCACAAACAATGAATCGTGGAACACTACATCAAGAACTAATGATGTATGGTGATTAACATAACAATAAAAAATTTTTTAAAATTTAAAAAAATGAGATGTTTATCTAGTATTCCTGATCCAAGGTGCAGCCTCTATCCACAGGATTCACAGAACAAATAGTTTTTTATGGCACCTCGGGCTGACCAGGCTTGGACATGACCTGAAGGCTTTTTTTTTTTTTTTTTTTAAGATTTTATTTATTTGACAGAGAGAGACACAGCAAGAGAGGGAACACAAGCAGTTGGGAGTGAGAGAGGGAGTAGCAGGCTTCCCGCAGAGCATGGAGCCCGATGCGGGGCTCGATCCCAGGACCCAGGGATCATGACCTGAGCCAAAGGCAGACGCTTAACGACGACTGAGCCACCCAGGCACCCCTTCCTGAAGGCTTTCTACACAGGAAGCCTCAGATCGATGACCAGTCCCACGGCGGCACAGTGGGCTGACGCTTGGCTGTGCCGATCCAGTGTTCTCTGCAGGTAATATAGACATCCCCGGGGAAAATGGTGTGCTGACTTCTGATTGGCCAGCTGTGGGTCAGTGTGAGGCATGGGATTTACTTTGGCAGTGATAGCCATCAGCCATGGCAGGTGTGGGGAATTTGAAAAGCACCTGCGGGAGAGGGGAGTGCCCAACAGGTGACTCCATTTTATTGCTTGATTATGCATCGGGTAGTCTTGAAACACGTGGACACTGACATCCCAGACACCTGCCTTGATGAGGTTTCCCTCCCCGAGTGGAGAAGGGCCTGAGAAATCATGCACCTTTCGAAATGATGTAACTGCCAGTAAATCAGTGTTTAGCCCTTCAACGGTTACGGACAGCAAGAGATGATCAGAGGCAGCAGAGCTTAGTGGATGCCTGTCCCACTTCCACCAGCTGGAGCCCTTATCGGTGGAAATGGCTCATGCAGTTCGCAGCCCACTTGGTATGTGAATCAGCCTAACCTGTCATGGAAAATTATAGAATATGATGAAGGTATGCATTATAAATCCATGTCTTTATCATTTTTTTCGTGACTTTTAGCACCTAGTAGGTGCCCTGCAATATGGGCAAGCTGGGGAGATACCTCACCGAAGACTCTGTGTTTAAGTAGAATCTTGAGGAATGGGTAGAATTGCCAGTAAAAGTACTTGCGCGTTTTGGAGTGGAGAGGTCAAAAATACACACGCTACATCTCAGATACGCAAAAGATGCAGCATAATGTATTCTGTAACTGACCTTGTCATGCTCACCTTCTGGGGGATGGCGGGAGTACTTAGAGCCACCACTCAGAGGAAGGTTGTAAGATGAAAATAGTGGAGGAGCCATCACCTCCGAGAATTTCCCATCGTCGTTGACAGGTGAGCCTACCATTCCCGTGTGAGAGAAGGGAATGAGCAAAGACTGTAGTGAATATTTGCCTCTTCGTTCTCTCGCAGTCTCTGTGCCCTCCTTGCCATTCAGGGAATTGTGGTTCTCCATCCATCACCTCTAACTGTACCATAAACTTAAAGAGGAAGACAGGATACAATGTCTACCTCCTTGAGTAAGTACCATAGGAGTGGCCAGTGAATTCTGATTAAGCACAACAGAACGCTTTTGTTCTGCCTTGCCCAGCGGGTTTTAATTGCTGGGCCTCTCAAAGGTAGGATTTGTTTGGAGTAACACCCATGTCCTTGATGGTGGCTTCAGAGTACATCTGTTTTCAAAAAAGCAATAAATGTCTATTAGTAGTACTTCTTTTCAGAAAGCACCTGGCTTATCTTCTGAAATCAATACTTGATGTTCAGTAATGTTTGGGTTTTCAAAAAGATGAACTCATCTGGATGGTTTGCTAGTTCTGCATGGAGAATCAAACTTTGACTACGTTCCCCTATTGATTTCTTTTTTCTGATACAAAACAGAGATGAAAGAGAGGGAAGTTTAAGTACAAAATTTACTGCAGTAAAGAGATCAAAACAATTTTCTTATGTAAACCAAAAATAACATGTTTCATATGACTGCCAGAAGTTGGAAAAATCCATTTATGACAAATGCAAACTCTGGATGAAAGCCTAGTGACAGAGTTGGTTAAGGCCCATGGATGTGTTCAGACCCCAGAGAAAATTTCAGGGTAACAATCTCAGTAGAGGGATAGAAAGAGATAAATTGCATTGCTAAGAAATGCGATGTCTAATAAATTGCAATGCAATAAATTGCATTGCTAAGAAATGGTCACCTTCCCATTGGACAGCCATGAGTGACCTTCATATCCAGTTATGCCCTTGAGGTCAAGGATTCAAATCCCAGATGCCCAAATGCATGTTTCATGTAAAAGACCCAGGATTTCCTTTCATGTGGCTTCCTGCGTATTTGTCAGGACATGCTTCATCTGTGCACTTGGCAAAAATGGGAAGAGGAGGCCATGGAGGCCCCATTCCATCTTGACAGCCCTTGAAAGCTCTTCATCCTCGCCACCACTATTCAAACCCCCCGTGCCCATTCACTGAGGGCTGCCTGTCACCAGTAGGAGCCACTATTCATCATCGATGGAATGATCAGAGAGAAGGAAACTGCACAAAGAGGTGGGGGCCAAGCTCCTGGGCAGAAAACATGGAGGGCGTATTTACATGTTAAAAGAGAACCCTATTATATGTCAACTACAATGAAAAAATTTTAAGTCTTTTTTAAGTTAAAAAATATAAAAGAGAATGCTAGAGCAAGCTCTCTGGCTTCCCCAAGGGTTGTAAGGTATTGTACCAATCCTGGGGCTCCACTTCCTGATGGGGCCCACTTTCTGAATCTGGAGAGAAGTCCAGACTGCTCCGTGGGAGAAGGGAGCTAAGACAGGGCTAACCTAGCACAAATGTTTGAAGTAAATACACTCACGCCCCTCTACTGGAAACAACTGTACGCTATTGGCAAAGTTTCTCAATGCCTTCAAAGTCTCAGTTTATGCATCTGTAAAATGGGACTAACCATTGCACTTACTTCTGAAGGGTATAATGAGGGCTAAACAAAAAGCACAAAAAAGTTCACAGCACAGAACCTGTCATATAAAAGACATTCCATAATTGTTAGATAACAATCGTAGCATAAATTCCTCACTTGATTGAGGAAGAAACTGAGGCCCAGACAGATGAAGATTCTTGTCCAAGCTCTAAAACATCAGGCTGCCTCTCTTCCCACTGCCCTGCCACCCAACATGTCCTCGTGTGTTAAAACATGTAATAAAATATAATACAGCTGAGGACGAATCCGTGGTTTTTAAAATAAATGTCCCAAGTCTAAAAATGCATATGGGTCTGTATCTTGAGACCCTCAAGAATTTTCGGTTAAGGATCAAAGTACTACAATATAGTCTCTTTTCTTTCAGATTCTAGAGATTTGCGGGGGGTGGGGGGGGGATTTGTTGAAATACACACGGATATTTTAATGCCTTTGAATATTTACGTCAAAATCTATGTTAATACAACTTATGACTAGTACAGTTTTCCCTTCTGTATTCTGTCTTATGAATTTTAAGTGTTATGTCTGTCCCACTTGAGTCTCCAAGAAACCTTGTCATCTCTGCTGTACAACCATCCTGTTTTTAAGATATTCATTGAAAATTTTGTGTTCGAGCCATTTTGAAAGGAAATATTGTAGTTGTTTTCCACGTAGAAGTAAAATACACATAATTAAAATTAAGTAGTATGAAGTAACATTCATGGCTTCCAAGAGCACACCTCCCACAATGCGAATTACGGTGTCACTCTGGTAATACGGTGAATGGAGAGAACTGTGACACCAGCCAACCAAAGCCGCAGATTAAACCACAATGACCCTTTGTTTCCAGCCTGCTTTCCTTTTGCGATTGTTGGGTGATGCAGTGCCTGAAGGTGGCTGGCTGCCCCACGAGCAGCACCTATTCCTTCCCCCTGGGGGCTGAGGTGATGGGAGGGGGTTGAGTGAGAGCCAAAAGCCTCTTGGAGCAGAGCTCTAAAAGCAGTCCCAAAGCCCACCTGGGCTGGGATTAGTGCGAATCCTTTGAAATGTTGCCGGCTGCCGACCACACCCCTCTGGAGCCCTTTCAGGCCAAGCACATCGGTGGAACTGCACGGCAGTCATCCCCAGCATCTCCTCGGCAGGCACTCCTGGGGGTCCCAGAAGACACTTTCCCTCCCATAGTCCAGTGGCCACGTTTATTATCAGCAGCTGTAGCCCATGAAGGTGCATCCGGAGCACGAGGGCGTGTCCCCTGCTTCAGCATCCCCGGCTCTGCCCCTCAGCATCCTGCAATGGTGTGGCTGCCAGCACCCCACCTGCTACAGACTCGTCATAGGAAGGTGGGGCCTCCGGGTGGGCATCCGTTGCATCCTCAAATTCAAGGCCCATCTCTGTGTACAGAGGTGGAGGTACATCCAAGGCGTCTCCCTCTGCAGGACAAGGTTGCTTCTCGGCATCAAGACTCTCTTCATACGCAGGAGGGTAGAAATCTGGCCTGGGGATCAAAATGCCACAAACATACATGTGTTATTTAAGTGGTTAATGCCAAAGAGGCATATGCCTGCCTCTCTCAAATCACACTGTGTGAAGTGAAACTGTTAAGAAACATTGATTTTGAAACAGATGTACTTCTTCCCTGGCATCACCAGTTTTAAAAAAATGTGCCGCTCTTCCAGCAAAACCCTCCTTATCAGCCATCGGATGTGTGCCTCTATAGTCCTGTTTTTCCCAGTGGGTTATTCCAAGCTATTTCCTCTCTCTCCCTCATGGGAACCAGGGACTTTTAGTGTGAGATCGTCACCAGGGTGAGGGATGTGGGGGGGCCTCGGCTGTTCAACTTCCCTACACCCAGTTAGTCCATCCATGACCTTGTCCCCATTCACACACACCTCATTCATGCTCACTGTTTCAAATCCTCCTAGCCAACAAAATAATGAGTGAAAACCAATGTATAAACTTGTCACATCGCTGTTAAACACCTGAACCCAATGTAACATTGTGTGTCAACTACAGTCTAATAAAACTTTTTATTTATTTTTTTATTTTTTTTAAGATTTTATTTATTTATTTGAGAGAGAGAATGAGAGAGAGAGCACGAGAGGGGGGAAGGTCAGAGGGAGAAGCAGACTCCCCGCTGAGCGGGGAGCCCGATGTGGGACTCGATCCCGGGACTCCAGGATCATGACCTGAACTGAAGGCAGTCGCTTAACCAACTGAGCCACCCAGGCGCTCTAATAAAACTTTTTAAAAACCCAGCTCTGTCTCCTCAACTGTATCTGATGCTTCTTTCTTTCTTCTCTCTCTTTCAAGTCTCAGTGACTAGTTTCCAAAAAAAACATACTCATTTCTCAAACCATTTCAACTGACAACTTCATGTAGATCTCACTGGCAGCCCTTTCCATGCCAAAAGGTCAATGGCAAAAGGAGCCATTCATGCCAAAGGTGATGTATTCATTGGTCATCTTGCCCAATGTTGCTAATTACTAAATCCTTCTGGCTTCTCCACCATGAATGGGACCGGGGGTGGTATGAGGTGAGGAAGAGTGAAGGCGAGCTTGATTGAGTTGTGTATTTATAGAGCGAATCCCTCCGTGCCCACGGGGAGTGTTTATGGTGTGTAACCACAACAGAACAGAGCCCGCCACTTGTAGCCACAGCTCCATTCCAAATATTACCAGGCGCAAAGCCAGATAGCTGAAGGAGTGGTCTACTGTACGGCATAAATCTCAGCCTTCACTCAGCATAGTCAAGGCAGTGTCACAGGGCACACTTGTAAAGACACTGAAGACAGAAAGGTGAGCTGTTTCCCTGGAGTGATTTGAAAGGCTCCAGGATGACGGCCACCTGCCCCCAAATCCCATCCGGCTCTTCCAGTCCCATCTGCCCCCCGACCGGTTCACATTCCCAGGGCCCTGAGGTCCACCACTGCACACTTGTTTGCTCTGACACCTCAATATGGGTCCCCATTTTGAATGCATATGCTTCTGAGAAATGCAACTTTTTCTTGACTGACTTCCTGGCCATTCTGGGTAGGTTGGGCATCTCTTAGATGCAATAGGAAGAGACGGTTCAATGGCGTGTCACGATAGCCATATCAGGGATCCCTTTGAAATAGCACGGCGTGGTGTGATGTTAGTAAATTTAAGCTGCCTCCTGTAGGCAATCAGTTACTTTTCTTTTTGAAAAGATTTTATTTATTTATTTGACAGAGAGCACAAGCAGGGGGAGCGGCAGGCAGAGGGAAAGGAAGAAGCAGACTCCCCACTGAGCAAGGAGCCTGACAGAGGGGTCAATCCCAGGACCCTGGGATCATGACCTGAGCCAAAGGCAGATGCTTAACCGACTGAACCACCCAGGCGTCCCTGCAATCAGTTACTCTTCTCAGGAATTCACACTCTGGAGGCAACCATCTAACATTTGTACAAGAAAAAACAAATCATCACTCAAGAAGCACCATCCGTGATCACGTTAGTTATCTTAATCTTTTATCAAACCCAGAGACCTTGCCAGCTAGTATAATAAACATTGGAAATGGGGTTTGGTTATTGTAATTAGCATCTTATTAATTAGCATAATAATGTCAAAAATCAACCGTCATGGGTAAAATTTTTTATATTCAAGATACGTGGAGTACCTAAGATATTTTAGATGTAGAGGGCAGAAGAATTTATGGAGTCTTACAGCCTGTGTCTTGAGGATGATGCCTGAAGTTTTATCCCTAAATGGTCCTGTGTTCAGCCAAGAATTAGGAGCGTTTGGTTGTCTGATACTGACCATAACGTGAACTGAATTTTGTTTTATTGTAGTGAAATATATGTAACATTAGATTTACCACTGTGTATAGATCAGTGTACAGATCAGTGGCATTCGGTACCTTATCCCTCTCCAGAACTTTTCCATCATCCCAAACTGAAACTCTGTACTCAGTAAACAATGAGTCCCCGTTCCCTCCTCCCCACTGACCCCGATAACCACTGTTCACTTTCTGGCTATGAATTAATTTCACTGCTCTGGATATCTCATGTAAGTGGAATCGTACAGTATTTGTCTTTTTGTGAATGGCTTCTTTTACTTAGTATAATGTCTTCAGGGTTCATCCATGCTCTAGCACGTGTCAGAACGTCCTTCTTTTTGTGGCTGGATAATATTCCATTGTATGGATAGACCACGCTTTGTTTATCCATTCGTCCACTGGCGGACATTCGGGTTGTCTCCATCTTTTGGCTATCATGAAGAATACTGCTATGAACGCTGGTGTACGACTATCTGTTCAAGTTCCCACTTTTAATTCTTTTGTCTGCATACCCAGAAGTAGAATTGCTGGATCGAATGGTAATTATTCTGTATTTAACCTCCATGCCATTTCCCATAAAATGATTGCTGCATTTTACATTCCCACCAGCAGTGCACAAGGTTTTGGACCTTTTTTTTAAGATTTTATTTATTTATTTCAGACAGAGAGAGAGCCAGAGAGAGCACAAGCGGTGGGGGAGGGGGGGGAGGGTGGCAGAGGGAGAAGCAGACTCCCAGCTGAGCAGGGAGCCCGATGCAGAGCTCGATCCCATGACCCCGAGATCATGACCAAAGGCAGATGCTTAACCAACTGAGCCACCTGGTCTCCCCTAGGTTTCGGATTTTTGTATATTCTTGCTGACACTTGTTGTTTTCTGTGTGTTTTTATAAGTAAGAGCCATCATAATGGGTATGAGGTGGTAAGGTTAACCGAATTACCACTGGAATGTTAACTGCCTTGCCTTGAATAAATCTGTCATGCAAGGTGTGATCAGAACACCTAGAAAGACGGTAAGCTGGGACCTCACTGAGTTCATGAAGAGGTTGCAGGACTCATTCAATGCCTGTTTGTTCATACAATGCCATTTGTATGGCAGAATTTGGTCTGGAACTTCCTTTCCTTATAACCTGGTAGCCGGATTATGGGCAATAACTCACCACAATCTGCCTCTAAGGACAGCTTCCATGATACAAAAAAGAACCTAAGAGTTGGGCCTCTTCTATTGGCTTAGGTAGGTTTTCAGTGGGGGGGAGAAGTGGTTTTTCAGATCTAAATACCCTCTACTTCATGGTTTTCCCCAGTGGCAACACCATTCTTCCTAAGGACTAAGCCCAGAGTAATATCCCAACAGGAAAACTTCAGTTTGAGACATACAGCCCTGCAGGACATGGGTATTTCTCCACAGTGGGATTAAGTTCATTCTGCTTTTCCAGAATCCGGCCCCATTGCAGCCTTCCTCATCCTCTGGCTTCCCCGTACATACCTGTCAACTGTGGCCAGGGGAAGTGCCCCATGAGAAAGGTGTCTTCTGAGCACATGGGTGAACACCCCTTTGCTTTCCCTTGCCTGGCGGTAGGTGCTCCAGAAAATTCCGCTCAGAAGGATCACAAACCCCAGTGGCAGAAGCATATAGGCCAGGATCAGTTTCCCTCGACAGTTGAATATCGATCCTGAGGAAATGAAGAAGGCCCCCAGGCAGATCATCAGGAAGCCCATCAGGAGAGCAAGGGCACAGAGAACGAGACTAGTTCTGTTCTGCATCCCTGCTCCTTTGGAACTCTTCCACTCCCCTGCTTCCTCGCTCAGAGAGAATGCTGTCATTAGCCAGCTCGACGCTTTATATGCTCTGGGACCAACTGGCCTTTGGACAATTAAGTGAAGCAGGCACTTAGAAGCTATTCATTAACCATTGGAAGTTACCGTAATATCCTTGGAGGATTAACCTAGAAACACAGCATTGTGTAATGCAGGAAGGAATGGCTTCTCATTGCGGGCTTGCTCTTCTGAGCTGGGTGGGACCCTTAGCCAACCCCAGTTATTTGAGGGAGGGTCTCTCATCCTTTGATTAAAAGGGCACTCATCTCTTAATCCCCATGGTGGGTAATTCCCCACTAATGCTAGAGAAATTAGTGTTTCTTTATGAACTAGCTATCTTCTTTGTGGTTTGGCAAGGGATCCTTTCCTGATTTCTTCTTTCTCTGTACGAAAGACATTTTTAAAGCTCCTAACAAGTTCATCTTGCTTCTCTCAGTGGAACTCTATTGCCTTCACCCAATGTTACTGAAAAAGTTCCGAGAGAAAAGCTCATGGGGTGAACTCTCTGATTCCTTCTCTGTTGATAAGGAAATGAGCATCCACAGGAGGAAGAAAGAGAATTCTGTAGAGAAGGACTGTAAGAGAGTTTCGGGAATTTGGGGTGTGGATTTCTGGGATGTTTGCAAAAGACAATGATCTGGGGGCGCCTGGGTGGCTCAGTCATTAAACATCTGCCTTCAGCTCAGGTCATGATCCCAGGGTCCTGGGATCGAGTCCCGCATAGGGCTCCCTGCTCAGCAGGGAGTCTATTTCTCCCTCTCTCGCTGACTTTCTGTGTCAAATAAATAAACAAATATATATGTATAAAAAAAAGGGGGGGTAGGGCGCCTGGGTGGCTCAGTCGGTGAAGCGTCTGCCTTGGGCTCAGGTCATGATCCCAGGGTCCTGGGATGGAACCCTGTGTTGGGCTCTGTTTTCAGGAGGGACTCTGTTTCTCCCTCTGCCCCTTCCCCCAGCTCGTGCTCGCTCGTGCTCACTCTCTCTCTCTTAAATAAATAAAAATCTTAAAAAAAAAAAAAAAAGCGATGATCTGGTGACTTCTCTGGATCCTGGTTTTGTATCTTTTCCATTGTTGGGCCCAGATGTTGAGATCCTAGAGTCATTTCTGGTTAACACATAGGTGTTCGATAAAAATTTTTGCCTATTGCTCAACTGCTGGCAACCATTCTTGGCTTACCTTTCCTGCTCTCACGAAAAGCACAGGTATTTAACGAAAGAGCGTTCCCTAAAATGTGTAGCATGTTTCCACCTCCAAGCAAAACAAATCAACACATATGTGAGAAACACCACCTAGTCAATCCCCACCCTCCCTCACACACACCTTGGAGTTGCATGAGGCACGCTAGCATATTAAAAGCTCTGACAAGTCCTACAAATCTCTCCCCCACAGAAAACACATCTGAAGTGAAATTTGATTTGGTAGCTGCCGCTAGAAAAATGTTCCCTGCCCTCTTCCCTGCACCATCTGCTTCTCTGCAGCATTGCCCCAAAAAAGTCTTTACAGAACCACCTTCTGTTTCCTGTCTGGAATTTGTTTCCTTCATCTTGACTGTCTTTGGTTATAGACACCCTATTCCAGATCTGGTTCATGCCCTGATTCCTTCCCTTTTTTTATGTGATGTTTTGGCATGTCCCTGCCGAAATTCTCCTGCCCACAGGGACTCTGGGTCACTTTTGTGCAGAGAGATTATCTTCAGTCCCTCTTTGCCACTCCTCTACCCCACTACTCCATTGCTATTATTCCGTTTACTTTCCCGACGGAAAAAGGAATTCTTTGTGCGGTGCCCTGGTGGTGCCAGGTACCCCCTTTGGCCTTATCCCCACCATCTTGTTAGCTCTACCTTCATGTTATGGGCTAAGAGAGAGAGAAAGACACTAGATCAAAAATGATATAAGGCACTTCCCTATTTCGCCTTCTAACCTCTACCTTTATTAGCTTCAATACTTACCCTGATCCACTTTCATCTTGTCTTGATATTATCCTTGCAATCTGAAAACAACCCTTTCTCCCTCCTTTTCCAATTGGTCTTGAGATTTTCAGATTTCTAAGATGGCCCCTGATGATCGCTGCCTTCTGGTATCTGTGTCCCCTGGAATGCAGGCTGGACATATTGAGAGTAGGCTAGATATAGTTACTTGATCCTAACCAATAGAATATGGTGAAATGTCACTTCTGTGATTAGGTTGCAAAAGATTGTAGCTTTGTCTCACTAGCCGACTCTTCCTATTGTCCTCATGGCTCATACCCTTTGAAGAAGGAAGCTGTCATATTAGAGAGGCCCATATGACAAGGAACTAAGGGCAGCTTGTGGCCAACAGTCAGTGAAGAACTGAGGACCTTAGCCCATCAGCCAGTGAGGAACTGCTTCCTGCCAACGATCATGGGAACTTGAAATCAAATCCTTGCCCAGTTGAGCCTTGAGATGACTATACCCGAAGCGATAGCTTGCTTGAGAGACCTCGAAGTCAAGGACTCAGCTATGTCATGCCCAGATTCCTGTCCCACAGAAATTGTGAGAGGATGGGTGTGCGTTGTTTTAAGTTGCTATGTTCTGTGGCAATTTGTTAGGCAGCAATAGATAACCCAAACAGCTCCTTGGGACTTGGAAACCAAAGGGGACAGTTGGGGTTAAGCGTTTGCGTGGTATCTGGCATATAGAACTCATCCAGTGAAGGTCAGCTATAGTCATGCTCACCATTACTGTTATTGTCATTACTGCTGTAATTCCAGATAGCTGAGAAAGACCCAGGATTTCCAACTGAAAGGTCTGCACTAGGAGTTGGGTCCCAAGAGCAGGTAAGTGGAGGAAGAGAGTAAGGAGGGTAGCACTCTTGATGAGGACTGCCCACCCATAGGGTTGGGCTTCTTTGTTTTAAACCAAAACCGAAAGATGAACCAGACTGGGCATTATGATAGGTCGAGCCTAGTTCTTGTGAGCACACAAGTACTTGAGCATGCAAGTATCTCTGTTCTTTCCCCTCCTCCAGTGCCAGTGAAGGGTAACCAGTGCCCTACAGTTTGTCAGATGGGTTCTCCCCCTCCTATACCCTTTATGGAGGTCATTACCTGTCATTCCAGAGCAGTGCATTTTTTTTTTTAAATTGGTGGTGGTTTTTTGTTTGTTTTGGTGAGAAATTGGGTAGGAAAGAGCAAGATCCAGGAGCTAGCAGGAGGATGAAAAGACTTAGTTACTTTATATAAAATACAGAGCAAGATCCTGGGCTCAGAATAGTTAAGGAGTTTATCTGGGGTGAGGTGGGGCATCAAGGAGAAAGTGCAGGAGGATCTGTAGTTTACGAAGAAAGTAGATGAGAAAGGGAAAAAAATCAATATGGAAATATGAAATATGGCTGGAAACCACGTGTCTCCTTCACGATGGTTGAGACATCCTTGTGGAAGATTAATGTTGAAGTTATGTTTGCCTGTTTGTGTTATTATTATTAAATATATAAATTATTAAATAATTATATATATTTTTACTCTGACTCTGCCTCAGTCCTGAAGCACATCATTACTGCTCTCTGAGCATGATTCCCCTTTAATGCCTCAAAAAATAGCACAAACATTGAGGGAAAGTACCCTGGTCTTCATCAGTCTGGAAGGGGCAGAACCCCAAGCAGAAGGCCAGTTGTAATGACAGAAGAGAAGAGCAGGCCACATCCTCAGGGTTGGGGAGAAATGAAAAGAATTCAGTAAAGAGCCAGTCCCACACCAAAACATCACCTTAAAGAGTCAGTTTCAGGAGACCTTTGAGCCTTTGGCTGGGCTTCCTTATGTTCTGCCTTACCTTCTAGGTCTGCCTCAACCCTCAGGCCAATGTTCCTGTTCTTGTCCACCTCACCACTCCCAGGGCTGAGTGTGAGTATGAGGGGCCAATAACAGTGACTTCATTTAAAAGGTGGAGAAACTGAGAAAGAGGTTTCTGAGCCACCTACGTTCATACAGACAGCTCAGGACTGATAGGAAAAAGAATGTCCCGGAAAAGTACGGACAGAGGCCCACCTTCGATAGAGAAATATTCTGGGACCCAGTGGAAGTCAAGCCATCGTCCTCCTGTCCCAATGCCCCATCAAGAGATCCATCTAGGGGCGCCTGGGTGGCTCAGATGGTTCAGAGATCCATCTAGGAAATGTCTTGCTTTTAAACCAGTTTATTTATTCCTTATTATAATTCTTAAAAATTCACCCATCAGCAAAAGTGCCTGACTTGGCAATAGGCAGTAATATGTTATTTGGCTGACAGCCAAACTGTCTTAAAACATAATCATTCTTTCAACACTGTTCCTCTGAGCGTGACTGACCCATGAGCGCTCCTGAACATTGAGTGCAGTCGAGTTCCAAGCACTGTTTTGCCTGAAACCTCCTCCTCCTTTCAGACTGCCCTGTGTAATGCGTAAATGCCTTGGAGGTTCTAACTGCACTCCAGCCTTTGTTCACTGGACACATGGGCCAGTGCCCTTCTCTTGAAAACAGAAAAATCGTATTGCTTTGGATGAGAAGCCAGTGGGGACTTTGGAAGGAAGCTAATGGTGTGTAGAAGCTGTTGCATAGGAGGGGTCAAGAGCTGAGGGAGAGAGGCCAGATTCCAGAAGGTCACTTTGGTTTAGGAAGTGAGGCCTTGTGGGAGGTGGGGAAGGTGAGCATGTGTGTAACCAACCATGTCACCCTGGTCTACTTTCATGGTGGTGATTACTGAGTGATTTCTGGATTAGCCTTTCACACGTGTGGGTTCACTGAGCACTGGTCACTTCCTTCTTGTTTTCTTTGCTTTTGAACCTTTCCCCCCACCTCTCTTTTTCTCCTCACTCACTCAGGAAGATTTACATGAAGACATTTTTAGGTTGGCAGAGAATAAACAGCTTCTCAGAAAATGTGTGGCACCATGCGGTAAAGTGATATTAGACCAGCACATGAGGATCATACTCACTGTGAAATGAACCTAGTGAGTCTCTAGGAAAGAGAACACCAAGCAAGGC